CCCCCCCCCCCAGACTGTCCACGGTTTTGTACCATAAATCAATCGAGAACGAACCAATCAAGAACACCCAATGCCTGATGTGGGTGTTTTGGGGGGCTGGGAGGGAACAAATGTGTGGGGGTCCCCAAGCACTGAGTTGAGGAACACTGCACCAAAGCAAACTGCAGCTTTGAGCTCCACTGCAGCTTCCCTTCAAGTAGTGATAACTGATCATGTGGTAAATTTACGCTAGAGTGAAATGGGGCTATATTCTTCTCGAGGCAACCTTAGTAATCCCCTCACTGCTGTCAAAAGCCAGAGAACGTCTCTCTGCTGTTACGATGGAGTTGTCTGCCTTCCGCTGCTGGATCCTTAAATGCCTTGGGGCAGTAGTGCTCAGCAGGTCCACGCACGGAAAAGAACGCTGCATTTTAGCACTTTCAAGTGGCTTTTAAGAGCTGTATCAAGTTGCGGACCAGCATGCGGTCTCCAATGGGCCAGCGTGTGCGTGTGCCGACGGCGTCCGTCTCCTCGCAGGAGAGAACGGGAGTGAAGATGATCATGATCCAGGACGGTCCCATGCCGACAGGCGCGGACAAGCCGCTGAGAATCACTGGGGATCCTTTCAAAGTGCAGGTGAGTGACATGCCGCCACACAGCCCTCAGTTCAGGAATGGCAACTGACATTAATGCTTATCTGAGGCTGCTAAGCTACACTCTAAGCTTGCATTGATGCAGTCAGAAGCTATAAAGAGCTAATTCATGATAATCCAAGTATTTTGTGATTTGCGACCTAAGGACAGAATGGAGGTATATTCTGGCTTGGCATGCGGTGGGAACAGCAGATGGCCCCTGGCACCTTGCTGCTCTTGAGCACTGACGCGATCTGGGTGCTCAGAAGCAGAGACCTTCGTGTAACAGGACATTGTATCTAAGTGGCTGTTACGGAGATGCAAGTGGGAACTCCGCGTGGAATTAAATCATGGGTTAAGCTGGAAGTTACTTGTCAGCCAAGACTAAAACAAGCTGGAGTTTTAGCCCCAGCTGTGGCTCCCACCTTAACAAATCCATAACCAGAGATGAGGGACAGTGGAGTTGATGCCTAGTCTTGTTCCCTGTCATGCACAGCAAGCACGAGAGCTGGTGGTGGAGATCATCAAGGACCAGGGGGACTTTCGCAGTGGCAGAGGCGACTTCGGGTCCAGATTGGGTGGAAGCAGCTTGGACGTAAGCTTTCCCTCCTCTTCCTATCACCACGTGTTAGAAAACCTTGCAGAACAGCAAAAATGTCAACCTCCTCTCCGCACACAGGTAGCGGTCCCCAGGTTCGCTGTGGGGATTGTCATCGGGAGGAATGGCGAGATGATCAAGAAGATTCAGAACGATGCAGGAGTCCGGATTCAGTTCAAGCCAGGTGGGCAAGGCAGTGTGCTTTGTGTTTTGACACTCAATTTCCAGTATAACGTCTGTCGTTAACCAGAGCTTCTGGAATTGGACCAGATGGTTGTTGGTTCAGGTTTCAGCAGGGATGTTGACTTTGAAGGAATGGGAGTCTCTCTAAAATGGATGTTCTGTAGACGCTTTTGAAGTCCATCCACAGTATGGTGTTGAATCTCCCTCCCCCCCTTAAACACACAGATGATGGCATCAGCCCTGACAGAGTTGCCCAGGTGATGGGCCAGCCGGAAAGGTGCCAGCATGCAGTCCACCTCATCAATGAGCTCGTCCACACTGCACAGGTAAGGTGGGGGGGGGGAGCCCTTCGTCCAAAATAAGCAGCCAGCACGGACCTCCAGTTTCACAGCTTCGCCCCTCGTATCCAAAATGCCAGAGAAGGTTGTCTCGTTTTCGTACGCTTGAGTCTTCAGGAGAGCCATTACAGTGAGTGTAACAGGATTAGAAGAGCTTTGGCGGCTTCCCGTGGCGTCGCACATCCGTAAGCTCTGCCCGGTTGTCACCCGCCGCTCGCCGGGCGTGCCACGCTTCACCAGCCCGTTATTCACGTCCTGGCACGGCAGCCGCTTAATCTCACTGGAGCAAGACGTGACCCCGTGAGGCAGTCAAATGGCTGGCTTGTTTCAGCCACTGTCCCCTTGGATTTAACAAGTCAGGGATGAGCAGCATCTGAACCTCGCCAAAACGTGGGATTTCAAGGTTCCTCATCCCTCGTCAACAAATGAAAATCCTCAGTCTTGAAATCAGCTGGCGCTTTGTAGTGTTATGATGCAAAAGAGGACTTTTATCGCTCTTCGTAAATGAATGCTTAGACGGCTCTGAAGGAAGTGTCCTTTGTCGGCCCCTGTTTTAAATTGGATTTAATGTTGGGATTCCCAAGACTTCCCAAGGTAAGGTCCTTCAGAGATTAATGCTGCAGTCTGGTTCCTGACCTAAAGTTCTCCTTCAGGTATTTAACCTGCATTATGACAGAATTAAGCTTTGTGCAATAAAAGTACACTTTTGGTTGCAGTGAGCGCCCAAACAGGATTAGGTAACGTTAAACATTAACTGCACCTTTTTATATAATGTCTTTATAATGCATTCATAGAACATGCAGTGCATCTTCGAAATCCATTTACAGAACATTCATAAGCAGCATGTAAATGTACCTTAACATCCGAGCAGCTTTAATATACATTAACGAACATGATTGATTATTAATGTATTACAGCTGTCATGACTTTTCTTTGAAAGTATTATAAATGCAGTGCTTTGACATTAAAGTATACTTGCATGAAGGTGCAGTTCATGTAAAGTGTTGCCCAAGATTAACATACACATGGGAGGAGTGATTCTTTGTAGCTTTCATGTTTGTTTAGTGCTTATTTGGTTCAAATAGTATAGAGTGTAGCTTGCCGGTCTGTTTGTGGTTATACACGCACACACATGCGTACAGTGGAGGTCCTGCTGAACAGGGATCTGACAAGTCTCCATTACCTTGTGTCTAAGCACCGCTTCTTGTTGCTTAGGGACCTGAGCCCCGCCCATATTTTTTTGATATGTAAGCCTTGTCACTTGTGCAGCCTTCCTTGGCTCATTCGCTGATGGGGTGGCTGCTGGGTGGGGTGACTCTGACCCCACCACAGCCCAAGGCACCTGACCCCCTGTCCCTGCTGCTGAGTGGGGAGCTTCTCCGACAGGTACCTCGGCACGTGCAGGACTCTCGGTCGCCACCTTTTGTCCGTGACACGTGTCTTTCTTCCCCTCCACCCCACCCCCCTCCCCAAATGGTTTTGTTTGTCACGTGCTGCCACTCCATGGAGGTGTAGCTCTGCACTGGGAGGGGGGGGCATTCCTGCACCAGACACTTCCTGTCAAGTTATGGGTTCAGCCATTGGTGTGTGTCCTACTGCTTTCAGTTTCGGTTTCACCTCTGTGCTCCTCTTTGGGGGAGGCGGCTTCGGTGTCTCGTGCCCCAGTGACCACAAGCGCGCTTCTTTCGGCAGGAGCGTGATGGCTTTGGCGGGCCGGTGGGCCTCCGGAGCAGAGGTCGAGGCCGCGGCGAGTGGAACATGGCGTCGCCGGGCAGCCTGCAGGAAGTGACATACACAATACCTGCCGACAAGTGTGGCCTAGTGATAGGTAAAGGTAAGTCAGCATAGAAGTACTTTACTTATGTACCTCCCATATTATCGTAATTTAGTACAAGTCAATCGGTAGGCAGTGAGTCCTGAGTCATGAATATTTTCTAATAAATTTCTGAAGCTTTTGTGCCAGAGTGAAACTTTGGGTTTCTTCAGAGAAATATGGAGGCCGATTCTCTCTCACTCGCTCACTCATTCGCATTGTGCAAACGATTGGTGGCGTCGCAGAGGAGAGTCTGGGCCACTCAGCATCCCATCTTGCCGATATAAGCCTGTGGTCGTGGTGCTTCTCGGCAGGACCGGCTCTCTAAGATGATGGGCCTCGTTATTTAGAATGGAGTGCACCTCAGAAGTCCCCCCCCCTCCACCGCTTCCGATGAACGAAGGCTCAGTCCTGTCACATGGAAAAGCTTTTAAACCTTACCTAAGCCTCTCTACCTCCATATGTTTTACTACTTGAGTAATAGTGCTGCTTTCTCCCCCCTCTCTTGTGTCGGGACAGAACTCGACTTCGTTTCTCTGGTGCACTTTTAAAATGAGTAAGGAGCGTCGGATTTAACAGGTGGTCACATAAACGAAGTCAGAGGCGACTCCTAACAGAGGCTGCAAGCAAAAACGAGCAGGGCTGTTCTTTCTGGCCTGAGTCTTTATTGTGTGGTGGTTCTCATGAGCGAACCAGTTGTCACTAACCTCAGAGGTATGCATGGCTGCTGCACCACCTTTCCCAGCCTTGTGCCTGGGTGTGAAATGTCACAGGTGGCGGTGTATAGTCTTCATACCATCGCTGCGTGCGATTTACATTTTAATTACATCATCTGCATGTGTGGTGAAATCCCTTGACCTGGATCTAGGTCACTGCTTGGGATAAATACCGTACCTTCATGGATTGGGACTTCCTGTGGTAATGGACTGGGTTTCAGTTTTCAGGCTAGAGTTCTGATCTCACACCCAGTACTTCTGCTGAATGCTCTTGTACATAAAGTTGTTCCAGGAGAACAGGCGCCCGGAGTTGTCCCTGTCTGATACCGAGTGAATTTCCGTGATCTAATGGGGACGTCACTTCTCCCCTCTGCTCACTGTGCGGCTGAATTGCGACCGGTAGGTGGGGAAACCATCAAGAACATCAACCAGCAGTCTGGAGCCCACGTGGAGCTGCAGAGGAACCCGCCGCCCAACACTGACCCCAACCACCGTATCTTCTCCATCAGGGGCTCCCCACAGCAGATCGGGATGGCTCGGCAGTTGATTGACGAGAAGATTGGGGTAAAGGAGGCGGGCCGGGCGCAGGGTCACGTTCTAAACCTGAGGAATGTTAGCAAGTTAAACTGGTACATATGAGTAGGACTGGGCGATGTCACATTGATGATATATTGCGCCTGTGCAGAAATCACCCAGGCTTCAGGCAACGGGCAAAACATTTGGCTGGATGCCAGCTTTGCAGTACTCTGAACGTTTTACATAATCAGTATAAATTCAGCATATCCTTATGTTTTAATAAACGCATCAGACTTTAAACTGCAAACAGTACAGCCACATCACCGATACCTTTTTACCTTGTTTTTCCACGAAGTCTCCTCTTTTAAAAGATGTCGTGCCTGCTGAGTGGTTCTTTTCCTCATCGCCACTTCAGTGCATCTCGCACTGAAGTATACCAAACCATCGTATACCAATCACGTGGTGTGCTCCGCTAACCAAATTTAATAAAGATACGCCAAGTTTATACAGATCATTTTTTGTGACACCCAAAAGTTAGTATCTCATAGCCATACTGCTAATCCACTTAAATAAATGTCCGCATAGTACCTAAAAGGTGCCGTCCGGCCAAATGTTTTGCCCATCGTCTGAAGCCCTGGTGATTGTTGCACATGCGCGATATAATATTGGTGTGATATCGCCCAGCCCTACTCATGAGTAAGTTGGTGTGCCATCAGTCTCTGTGGCTCAGTACCCATCAGTTGTGACGAAGGCTTTTGATTTAGGACTGGCAGAAACCTTTATATAATTTGATATTAAAAATGGATCAAAGACTACAAGCAGGTTAAGTTTATGACTTGGTTTGCCGATGTAGGTGTACAGGTTGGAGTAACACCCCACACCCAACTCCTTTGTCATTTGAATCTCCTCTTGTGTTCAGGGCACAGGGCTGGGGAGCAGCAGTAGCTTTGGACTTGGCCCTTTCACCCAAGGTCCAGCCACCACTCACCAAAAGTAAGTAGCAGTATTCCCCTTTTTTTTCCCCTGAAGGAATCTATTCTCGTCCCGCTCCCTTTAAAACGTGATGGTGGTGCTCGTCTCACTTGAGTCCCCTCCCTCTTCTTGGCCAGCGGCCCACAGACATTCATGACAGGAGGATGGGGGGCAACGTATCAGACATGGCAGCCGCAGGGGCAACAGGACCCCAGTAAGTATCCTGCTGAGCCGGGGGG